TCAGAATCCCAAGTTAGATGCTCTATCCTAGGTTCCCACCACCCATCATGCATGCTTATACCTCTTCACTTAGGTTTCCTTAAATTAATCATGCAACCTGTGGGAGTAACTTCTTCCCTTCCATCATGTGGGGCCTGGGGTTCGAATTCAGGTCATCAGGCTTGGTGGCAGGAGCCTTTGTCAGATAAGACATCTGGCTGGGCTAGCACTTAACTTTTTCATGTCAAAATATTAATGTCTATCACAGTACTGTGATTCCCATACTCAGTAGTTAAAGTGTACAGTGTACAGTGATTTTTAGTATCTCCATCGAGAAGCCATCACTACAATTTAGCCTTTTTATCACTCTGAAAGGAAACCCTGTACTCATTTGCAGTGGCTCCTCGTTTCCCCTCAATTGTCACAGGTCTGGACAACTGACACTTGTGCCTCTATAGGTACGCTTCTGTTAAACATTTCCCATTAATCAAAGTATCTAATATGTGGTCTTTGTGAATGATTTCTTTCATTTAGCATGTATCCCCTGTGTGGTGGTTTGAATGAGAATGGCCCCCATATGTTCCTATGCTTGGATGCTTGGTCCCCCGCTGGTGGAACTGTCTGGGAAGGATTAAGTTGTGGTCTTGTTGGGGGAGATGTCACTAAGGGTGAGCTTTGAGGTCTCAAAAGCCCAGACCATTACAGTCTGTTCTCTGCCTCCAGCTTGCAGATCAGGATGGGTGTAAGCTCTTAACTGCTGCTCCAGTGACTGCCTGCCTGCTGCCATGCTCCCCACCACGATGATCATGGAAGGACTCTAACCCTCTGGAACCACGAGCATCAGTAAACATTGTTTTTTGTAAGTTACCTTGGTCATGGGGTCTCTTCACATGAAAAATAACTTAGATACCCACTTACCTTTGTCAACATGCCACAGCCAAGAGTCACTTGAGAGGAAATCCTTAACCGAGGAGTTACCAAATGAGATTGGGCACGTCTCTCTGTGCGAATCTTATTTATACAGCACAGTCCAGACCTGTTAGCAGCACCATCCCTAGGCAGGTGGTCCCGAGCTACGTAAGGAAGCTAGTAGGTGCTGGAGAGATGGTTCAGTAATTAAGAGCACTGGGTGCTCATCCAGAGCACCTGAGTTTGATTCTCAGCACTCAAGTGATGGCTCACAACCATCTGTGACTCAGTCTTAGCAAATCTGATGCCCTCTTCTGGCCTCCACAGGCATGCAAGTGGTGCACAGACAGACTCACCTTTAATCCCAGCATTCGGAAGGCAGAGGCAGGCAGATCTCTGTGAGTTCGAAGACAACCTGTTCTACAGAGTGAGTTCCAGGACAGCCAAGACTGCACAGAGAAACCCTGTCTTGAAAACAAAATTATTTTATGTGCATCAGTGTTTTGCCTGCACATGTCTGTGTGAGGGAGCCAAATGACTTGGAGCTCATAAATAACAGTTGTGAGCTGCCATGTGGGTGCCGGCAATTGAACCTGTATCTTCTGGAAGAGCAGCCAGTGCTCTTAACCCCTGAGTCATCTTTCCAGCCCCCAGACATATATTTTTTTTAAAAAAATGGGAAAAAATAAAGGTAGCTAAGCATGAGTCTCTCCCTCCCTCCCTCCCTCCCTTCCCCTCCCACACACACGGGGAGGAGAGGGGGGGAGCACATGTACACCATTCATCTGTGGATTGTTTCAAGCTCCTGTTTGGTTCTTGTCTTGATTTCCCTCAATGATGGACCATGACCTGGAAGTGTAAACCAAATGAATCTTTTCCAGTCCTAAGTTGTTTTTGCTCATGGTGTTTGTCATAGCAACAGAAAGGAAAGTAGAACAGTATGTTTTCAGGGTTCAGTTGACTGTAGCATTTATCCATTGAATGAATATCCATTCAATTGCCAAACATTATTCCATTGAAAGAATATTTTGCTAATGCACTCCTAGGCTGGTAGGTGTGTGTTTCTTCCTTATATTATGAATAGTGATACCACAAGCCCTGTCTTTCTTTTTTCCTCCCTCTCTTGCTTCCTCTCTCTCTCTCTCTCTCTCTCTCTCTCTCTCTCTCTCTCTCGCTCCTACACCCATCTTCTCATGTGATTTTTATTTATACCATGACTTACTTTTGAGACCAGAATCTCATTTAGATCAGGCTGGCCTCAAACTCACCTCACTGAGACTGCCTTCCTGCCTTGGCCTCCTAGGTGCCAGCATTATCTCTGTGAGCCATCCTGTCCAGCACATTTTAATCATTTATTTTTGTGTATGAGTGTCTTGCTTACATCTATGTTTGTGCATCACATCTGGTGCCTGAACAAGCCAGAAGGGGGTATCAAATCCTCTGGAACTGAAGTTATAAGTGGTCGTGAGCCATCATGTGGGTGCTGGGAACCAGACCCAGCTCCTCTGCAAGATCAGCAAGTGCTTTTAACAGGTGAGCCAACCTCCTCCCCCTTTTAAATGTGTGTATGTACTTACATATGGGTCTCTGTGTATAGGTAGGTACTCACGGAAGCCAAAAGATGATACTGAATCCCCTGGAACCAGAATCATAGGCAGTTGTAAGCTATGTAAGTGCTGGGAATTCCAAGTGCTCTTAACTGTTTTTCTCTAATGACACGTTGTTTTGTTTTGTTTTGATTTTTCGAGGCAGGGTTTCTCTGTGGCTTTGGAGGCTGTCCTGGAACTAGCTCTTGTAGAACAGGCTGGTCTGGAACTCACAGAGATCCACCTGCCCCTGCCTTCTGAGTGCTGGGATTAAGGCGAGTGCCACCACTGCACAGCTTGACACATTGGTTTTTATAACTTAAAATGCAGCTTCTAGGGCTGGAGAGGTGGCTCAGAGGTTAAGAGCATTCATTGGCAGCTCTTCCAGAGGTCTTGAGTTCAAGTCACAGCAACCACATGGTGGCTCACAGCCATCTATAATGAGAGCTGATTCCCTCTTCTGGCGTGCCAGCAGAACACTGTATGCATAATAAATAAATGTTTTTAAAAAATGAAATTCTCTAAATATTTTTTTTTAAAAATGCAGCTTCTATTTCCCAAGACAGGAATTCTAGACCAAGCTGACCTCAAACTCCCTATGCTGTGAAGGATAATCTTGAACTTCTGATCTTCCTACCTGCCTCCACCTGCCAGGTGATGGGATTACAGGTATGCACCACTACATCCTTTTATATGGTGCTCAGGACTGAACTTAGGGCTTTGTGCATGAGAAGCAAACACTCTACCAACTGAGCTACACCCACAGTCCAAGCTTATGTTATTTAGTAGCAAAAATGAATCAATAAAATAATCACAAATAAGTATAGAAACCAAAACAAGGTTTGCAGTTGCCCTGGGTGGATGACCAAGATCTCCACAGTCAGGCAGCACTGAATAGCATAGCCTGTTGAAATTTCTAGAGGTCTCACTTTCCTAGTGTTAGCCTTCAAAATGAGGCAGAAATCATGTCTCTCACAAATGGGTATGGGGTGTGAGAGCTCACACATGTAATGCAAACACTTTAGAGCCTGAGGTAGGAGGATTACCACAAACCTGAGGCTGGTCTGGGTTTCACAGTGAGTTTCAGGTCAACCTGAGCTACAAGACCCTGTCTCAGCAAAAGCAAAAACAAGCGAAAGAAAACTCATTCTCTCAGAAGCTCTTTCTTCACTGTTTATCTTTTTAACATGCAAGCCAAGTACAGTGGTACACAAATGTAGCCACAGAGGCTGAGACAGTTCAGTACATAGACCCTATCTCAAAAAAAAAGGGAGGAGTTGCTGGGGAAATAGTTCAGTTGGTAGAGTGCTTGCCTACTGTGATGTTAGCTTGGTCATTCACTTGATTTGGTCTAGAATCGTCTAACAGTCATGCTTCTGTGAGAGCATTTCTAGGAAAGGTTAAATGAGGGGGGAGACCTTTTCCCCAATGTGAATGGCAACTTCTCCCATGCAGCCCTGATTCTAAGAGGCCTGGGGCCTGGGAGAGGAACCGTGCTCTTTGTCTGCTGACCTTCCCTCCTGGCTGGTAAGTACATCTACTCTGCTGCTGCTATCCTGCCCTGACACTGAAGACCAGAAGCTCTCCAGGAATCCTCCAGGCTCTCAGTACCAGGACTGCTGAGGGGCAGCCTTGTGAAATGAGGTGGTACTGAGTTCTCAGCCTCTCTAAGTATGCAGATGGCTATTACTGGACTACCCAGTCCCTATCGTGTGAGTCAGTCTAATCAATCTCCTTTCAACATATCCATTCTATCAGTTCTTTTTCTGTAGAGAACCCCAATACATCTGCCATGCATTGGATGTGGTGGTGCACATCTGTTATCCCAGGACCTTGGAGGCAGAGGTCAGAGGATAAAAAATTCCAGGTTATCCTGGCTAGCCCCAGTTACAGAGACCCTGTCTCAAGAAAGTACATTTTAAAATTTAAAATTTAACCTCTGTATTTCCCAAAGTCTCCCACAAGTTAAGACCCAGAAGTTTTGCAAAGTACAGGGTTCCCCCTGATGTGGTTGCTGCTTTCCTCTCTAGTCACACTCCCCAGTTCTTCACACACATCCATTGACTGGTAATTCTCTAAATATGACCATACCCTTTCTTATTTATATAAATTTGCATGTGACTACTCTCTTGGCCTTAAATGGCATTCCCCATTCTCAGACAACTCCAGTACTACTTAAATCTTCAAAACCCAGATCAGACATCCTTCATCTTGTGACATGTTCCTGTCCCACTCTGGCTCTCACCCTGACAGGTGTGTCCTCAGGGCTCCTAAACACAGCCCCATTACTGCAGAACACTACAGATTTGTGGATATCCCTCTGGCATAACCCTAAGCAATCTCAGGGTCATGGCCCTTGGTGTGGAGTAGGTGTCCATGTTGCCTTAGCTGATTAAGAAGTGAGTGAACAAAGAGGAGACACAAGGTACAGAGCTGGGCCATCAGAGCACTGTGTTGAACTGAAGTAAACTCCAAAACATGACCACAAGAACAAACTGGGAAGAAGTGAATTCATCACAAGAAGAATTTCAGTCTATACATGTTCAAGTTTTATTACAAAGTATGATGGGCAGAAAATACGGTACTTCTTATACAGGAGGCTGAAACAGAACGAATAGACTTAATGTACGTAGGAAGAAGTAAAGTCACAGAAAGAACACTCCACTCTCGGGTGCTTCTCAAGTCGCCTCTGGTGGAGAATCCTAAGCTCTTTCACAGCACAGTGTTAAAATTATTACAAGCCCTGTATACAATCAGCCATGTGAAAATAATATTTATAAAGGAGAAATGGTTACAGTACAGTTCTGCAAAGGGGCAGCTTCCTCTCCACCTGAACAAGGGATGGCACAAAAGCTTTAGAACAGAAGGGAAGTTTAAATATTTAAGAAAGTAAGTTCATACACATAGGCTAAAGGGCACAGAAATGGATCAGTTAGAGCTTAACATTTTGTAGAACAAGAAATCTCCATTTTCTACAGAGGTTTGTACAATCATGCTATAATTCACACTCAGGGTGGGGCAGGGAAAGTCACTGACAGAGGGGTAATAAAACACACGGGACCAAAGCAAGTGACTCATTTTACTAAAGCAATTCAAAGCTTCAGGTCAACAGTTTTCTAACACATTGTACAGCACAATCAGCCCAAGGTGAGAACATTTCTTTCAATAGTCGATAGCACAATTCAGCTTCACTGAGTTGTCCCAAAGGTGGGTGCTCACACATTTTCCAGACTGTCAACATCTTTCTTCTGGAGTTCAAACTTCCCTTAGCTTATTGTTTCTGGCTGGCACATTAGTTCAAGCCTCTTGGAGAAGACATCCTGCATGTTTCCATATTTAAAAAGTAACATTCAGACAGCAGCCCAAGAAGCTTGTCTATCCCATAATGCCACATGCTTGACAATCTGACCATTAGCAGCAATGACAGTATGGGAGGAAGAGAGGATGTAGCTGGGTGGGACACTCAGCTATGGCCTCACGAGAGCAGAGAGGACAACTCTGAGAAAGCCTGGCTCAGGGTTCATAGTGACATTGCTCAGGTCAGCTCTCCTCTCAGAAAATGCAAGCTAAATGCCAAGCATGCCCCACCTTCCTCATCCTGACACAGGCTCTAAAGGAAACATGCGCTTTGAGGCCTCTACAGCAACTGTACTCTTTATCCTAAGCCAGGCAATTGAAGGAACTGCCATATTTTCAAAATGGGGCAGCTAGGGGAAGTTCTGGACTGTTCACCCATGCTTGGTAAACTCCAGAGTCCTTACATGTCCTTACAGCCTAGGAATCTAGGGCTCAGGATACATCTGGGAGAACATTCTACAGAGGAAAGGCAATAGGAGAAGAAAAGGAAAATGACAGAGGAGGTGCTAGGGGTGTAATTCAATTGTGGAACACTTGCCTAGCATGTGTGAGGGTCTGCATTTGACCCCCCTCCACACACACACAATGAAAGATGAAAAGGCAAAGGGAAGATAAAGGAAGAGGGGATCTACAAGAAGAACCATGGACGCTGGGGATAGTGGCACATGCCTGTGATCCCAGCACCCAGGGAGACTGAAGTAAGAGGATTCTAAGTGCAAGGACAGCCTGGCCTACAGTGCAAGACCCCGTCTCAAACAAAATAAAACAAAAACAGTATCATCATGTACTGTCATGGGACACCCAATACTTAGATTTAACCACCAGACATCACCTATAGCAGCCTTGCTGTAGGAAGGTGCTCTCTGCCCCAGCTGTCACCCCATTCCTAGCCATTCCTAGTCACCCAGTGACACACATGTTTGATTAATGGCACTGGAAGGCCAACCTAGGCTGAGGTACAGGCTTACTTCATAGCTATGAGAGAGACACTCTCAATGTTCCTCCCCTCAGGCCCTGTGTTTTCCAGTATTTCTTCTGATCCGTAGAAGTGATTTTCTCCTACACCCTAAAATATCAAATTTCAACTGTAACAATTAAAACACTGTAGGATTCTGATTTTTTTTTCCTGTTCTTCCCGAATTGCAGCCAGTTATTGTAGCCAGAATTGTACCCAATTCTGATTTTGATAGAAAATTATCACCCAGTTGTCAGGTGTCATCACTCTTCAAGCCCTAACCTTGCAGGCCAGGAGAGCGATCCAATCTCCTATGTGGAAAAGCTCAAGTCCATGAAGGCCTCAGACCCATTCAGCAGCTCAGCTCTCTGCTAATCTGACTGAGCATGCAACTTCCACACGGAAGCACAGCCAGAGCCTCCAGCTTAGCATGCCAAAGCCAAGTCCAAACAGCACCGAAGCTATACCAGAACCTGGAGCAGAACGGGTCTGGAGGCCCCCACCCACCTCCCTGTCAGTCTAAGACCTGGCAAACTTAGACAAAGACCAGCTCTCCAAACTGTAATAGCCCTGTGCTTCTGGTAGCATGGCAGACTAAGTGACTTTCTGTATCTCAAGGCTACAGAAATCTCTTCTTCAGTCACAGGGCCACCAATCCATGCTCGAAAGGGAAGGTGAGAAAGCTGGCACTTCAAAACGTGGTCCTGCAACTGTGGGTGCATGCGTATTTGAAGATGGAGACGGCAAGAGTCTTACCTGGACCAAATGGAGGGCAGGGAAAGCAGGCTAAAGAACGATGACAAGCATCCACAGAGCAAGGAAAAATCCTCACAGGTGGTTGGTTTCCAAAGCACCTCATACAAGTTTATTCTAGCAACTACTATTTACTTTTTAAAAACTTTGTTTTCAAGTTCCAGTTGACAAATCTCATCATTTAGCCCTGGTTAAAGTCCACCCAGAACACAGAGGCCCTTCCCAGCCAGCCCCACTACCACTCTGACTTCCACTGCAGACTCAGCACAGGAAGAAACTGGGGGCTCTTACAGCTTTGCATGCTACCCTCAAAGACCCTGTGCTAGCTAGCACACACCACTAAAAGCAGAGGTAACCACAAATCGTGCTCTCTACCTGCAAATGATATAGGGTAGGGAAAGGGACATGCTAGCACAAGAACATTAATCTCAAGCAGATGGCCAGCCAGAGACCAGAAATCAGAATGACAAACCACAAAGGCCTCGGGGGAAAAACCCTGACTGAAAATGCCTTTCCTTTGGGACGAACCTCTTTGCAGTGAGCAATCTATGACTTTCGGCATACAGCTGCACCAGCTGTAGGAAGCGAGCCAAGACTCAGCCAGAGAGTCCAGGTGTCAAAACAATGAGTTTACATTTACTTCTCCAGCAATGACAGCTAAGGGGCAAACCCATCAGATTTCAGGCCTACTACTCTCCTCATGTCACAGAATCTAAGAAACCTTCAGGTAGCTCAGCAGAAAATGAGCCAGGCAAACTCTCCCCAGAGCATGTCCTACACTGCCAGGGACTCATCTAAAATCAGAACCATACAAGTCCCCTCCATGGAACCCATTCATGTAACGGAAACAGTCACCTGAGGCCTGAAAGTCAGCATGGCCAACTGTAGGCTACCAAGTCCAATACTGCTCAGAACCTAGACTGAGGTGAGGGCCAGTGCCCAGGGGTAGACAATCTTAGCTGGCTGGCCCTGGGATCACCACAACTGATCAGTCCATCCTTTATGAGAATTGTCCGTCTATCTCAACCTCAAGATCTTGTTTAGGGTCAGGAGTCTCTCATCCAGGGATGGGCCAGTATCCCACCAGGCAGAAGAAACTCAACAGAGATGCCAAAGCTTAGCTTAGAGATCTTTCTTGCCTACCATTCAAGTTCTAAAATGGAAAAATAGATTCTGAAACCAGGTACTGGAAACACAACATACAGCTTTCCTGAAGCGTTCTCCCTCAGCCTGGCCCCTAGTCAACTGCTTATGTCTGCTCCACAGGGTCCTCATTAGTGAAGCCAGAGAGAGGAACTTGAGGGTGGAACAGGAGGTTTCCTATGTCTGTCCTGGGCCTGCCAGGCCTTCAAGAGACCCAGACTGAGAAAGGTGTGAGTCAGAAGCCTCTAGAGCACCTCGCAGTTCTGAACTCCCGGTCAGGTGTGCCACGCAGGCAGTGCCTCAGGAAGGCAAACTGCTCTTGGGGCCCGGGGTCCAGTGCCACTGCAGGCACTGAGAGAGGAGAGGAAGGTACCAAGAGGGAGGACTGTGAAACCAAGAAACCAGGAAAAGTAAATTCTTTTCATAAAAAAATCAGCCTGATAGATAAAAATATACAAAGTTGAGGTTTGTTAAGACACTGATACCAGGAGGAGGAAAGACAATTTGAAATTGGCATTTGTTCCCACTTAAGTGCTAGCATGGACACGGATGGGGACAAGACACGGACTACTGCCTCAGGCAGTAAACACAGACACGGGGCAAGGGACACAGACAGAGCCAGTGCTTATACTGTTCATGAACACAACAGCTGACAAACAGATATACAGAAATGTTTAATTGAAGAAGCAAAGAAGAGGAAAGGAGAGAAATTGCAAAACCCAGCCCTGGGCTTGCGGTGCACCACACAGCACAGTCCTGCACAGATAGCGAGGGGCAACCGGCCTGGACTCCTACAGCAGCTTCTGGACACAGTGGGTGTAAAGCAACAATAGACATACTGGCCACTGGAAACATGTTCTTCTTACGTGGGGAGGGAAAGGGGCAGAGGCTGAAACACACAAGCCCTGGCCTGGTAGGTGAGGTGCCGCCAAGACTACACACGGAGTATCTCCAGGCAGTTGTTATAGCAGATGGCAATCCAGTCAGGCTGAGTTGAGGCCCACTGCACATTGTTGATCTCTCCTTCAGCTGTGTAGGCCAGGATAGGGTCCTCGATGGCCCGAGGCATCTGTTGGATGTCCCAGATGAGAGCCTGATGGTCATCCGCTGGGGAAAAAACAAGCAAGAATGTCATAGCTCAGACAATGGAGTAACAACCTTTGTTTTTTTTTTTTTTTTTTTGGTTTTTAGAGACAGAGTTTCTCTGTGTAGCTTTGGAGCCTATCCTGGCACTCGCACTGTAGACCAGGCTGGCCTCAAATTCACAAAGATCCGCCTGCCTCTGCCTCCCGAGTGCTGGGATTAAAGGTGTGCACCACCAATGCCCAGCTTAAAGATTTTAATTATAGGATCTACAGTGTTCTGCCTGCATGCACCCCTGCAGGCCAGAAGAGGGCACCAGATCTCATTATAGATGGTTGTGAGCCACCATGTGGTTGCTGGGAATTGAACTCAGGTTCTCTGGAGGATCAGCCAGTGCTCTTAACCTCTGAGCCATCTCTCCAGCCCACAATGTGGTAACAATCTTGCAACTGGAGGGTCAATCATAATTTGTAAAACATTTGCTCACCAAAACTTTGTGAGGGAGTTTTATTTTAGAGATGAGGAAACCAAGATTTAGCAATGTTACACTTGCCCCATCATGCCATGTAGCCAGTGAGTGGCAGGGTCAGGACTCATATCCAGGTCCTTAAGCTCCACCCACCCACTGCTCCAGTATTAGAGAATTAGATCAGAACATTGGAGTCGAGAATCAGGAGAGGACACAGGATGCAATGATCCTACAATATGATATCACTGTCAGCCACTAAAAACACTTACGTGAATGAAGACGCTTCTCTGATGACTGCTTCCCTTTTATGTATACTTACACTTCAACAAGCTGTACAGATGACTGACACAAATTGCTATACAGACATGCACCATTAAAAGAAATTCCACCTAGGCCTGTAGTCCCAGCAACAGGGGACTGAGGATATAGCTCAGGGCCTATCATGTTTAATATCCTTGGTTGAATCCTTAACACCATCAAAAATAAACAGCAACAACAACAACAACAAATCGAACCACTGCCAATTAATGTGTTTTCTAGCTATGGTGGCACCCTCTTTGAGAAAAATACTAAAATGAGAACTGTAGGTAAGGCTATGTGAAGGTACAAGACCCAAGACCCAAGGGAGATGATTCCTGGTAGTGCCAAAGATCCTGTTACAGCCAAGAGGGATGCTTCTTCTTGTAAGAACCCAGACTCCTGGGGAACAGCACATACTCCCCTATAGGAATATATGCACGGGTCTGTATCTGATACAATGTCATTAGTCAATAAAAGATGATCTGAGACCAACTAAATACACAAGATCATCTGGAATGTGGACTACTCCACTTTCACAAAAGTCTCCTTGGAAACAGCAAGGATTTGACTCATAGGGAGCCAAGAATGGATCTTCACTCTCTGATCCTCCCTCCCATCGTGGTTACCTGCAGTGCAGATGTGGCAGGATGAATGTGGGGCCCAAGCGATGCCATTGACACATGCTCGGTGGTTGTTTAGCCTGGCGACAGGTGTGCAGGGAACTCGAACATCCAGGATCACCACCTGCAGAAATGTAAGAAAAAGGCCCAATAATTGCAGAGTGTGGCAGGAAAAACAAACAAACAACACTATCTCACAAACAAAGTTTTAAGCATAATCTTTTTGTTTGTGGACTTGAAGAATACGAAAGAAAGGGTTTCCTAGGATGGAGAAAGAAAGAAAACAATGAACAAACACATGTAGTGTAGTCTCTGTGTTGAGACCCTGGGCCTTTAGACTAATAAGAAGGGGAAGCAGGAATAGGCACTGTGAGTTTGGATGATACACACACACCTTTGTTAAGTGCCTGTAAGAAGACACGATGGTGGCACACACCTTTAATCCCAGCACTGGAGAGGCAGAGACAGGCAGAACTCACAGAACTCTGTGAGTTCGAGGCCAGCCTGGTCTACAAAGTGAGTTCCAGGACAGCCAGGACTGTTACACAGAGAAACCCTGTCTTGAAAAACAAACAAACAAACAAATGGTGACTCTGTACCTGCCCTGAGTGCCCACTGTATTCATGGTGACTCTGTGTACCTACACTGAGTCCCTGCTGTAGCCACCATCGCTGTTCTACTTGTCTTAGCTTTACTTTATCAGAAATTATTTTATTTTTTAAGAAAATGCTTTTCAATGTAGCCCTAGAAATCTATGTAAAACAGGCTCGCCTTGAACTCACAGATATCCTTCTGTCTCTGTCTCCCAAGTGCTGGGATTAAAGGTGTGCCACCACCATGCCCATTGAAAGTTTACTGGTGTGTGTGTATGCAAGGGTGTGATTTTTTTGTACTGGGGATCGACCTCAGAGCCTTGAGCATACTAGACAAGTACTCTCCTGCTAAGCTACATCCCCACTGTATCAGAAATCCTTAACACAAAAGCAGTGCAACTGCAGTGAGTTTGTGGCTAGCCTAGGATACACAGTAAGCTCCAAGCTAGCCTGAGCTACAGAAACTCTGTTTCACCAAAGTGGGGAGAAGCTGAGCACAGTCCTTTTTGTTGACCAGGGTCCTCAGTCTAGGCCCTTTTGGCATTTTTAGTAGACTGACACTGTTGGGAACTGTCTGTGCATTGCAGGGTCATTAGCAGCCTCCCTGATCATTGCCCACTTGATGCCAAAAATACTCTTTGCTTCCTCTTCTGACAACCAAAAATGTTTCCAGGTATTTCCAAAGATCAACTGAGCACAAAACCGCCACCATCCGAGAGCTACTCTTGTAAATACACAAGGCAGATTGGACAAGGGACAGGCAGACGTATGGGGTGATAGGAGATGCTATTGTTTATATGTTTCTCTTATTGGTTGATGAATAAAACATTGATTGGCCAGGCAGGAAAATAGGTGGGGCTAGGAGACAAATTCTGGAAAGTGTAGGAGGCCAGAGTCAAGATGCTGCCAGAGGAGTGACACCATGCTGGTCATTACTGGGTAAGCCACAGCCTTGTGGCAAGACACGGATTGATAGAAATGGGTTAATAATTAAGACAGAGCTATCTGATAAGAAGCCCTAGTCTGGGCTGGAGAGATGGCTCAGGGGTTAAGAGCACTCTGTTCTTCCAGAGGTCCAGAGTTCAATTCCCAGCAACCACATGGTGGCTCACAACCATCCATTATGAGATCTGGTGCCTTCTTCTGGCATGCACTGTATACATGATAAATAAATAAATCTTAAAAAAAAAAAAAAAGAAGCCCTGGTCATCGGCCAACAGTTTCATAATTAATATAAGTCTTGTGTGTTCATTTGGGGCTCAAGGGCCACGGGACCAGCCAGGGCAGAAAGCTCACATGACAACGGGGTTTACCTCCATTCCATCCATGGCCATCGTGGCAAGGTAGTTAGGGTCCTGCTTGTTCCAGCAGAGGCGAAGCAGTGGGTGATGCTGAGGGTCTTCGTAAATGATGGTGCTGTGCTCCAGATGACGGAGGTCAAACATCCTCACAGAGCCATCCGCACCCACAGAGGCGAACATGTCCCTGCCACCTCCAGCTCGGCTGAACGCAATATCATAGACCTATTGGTAAGAAATGTCCAGTTCACATCAGCCACCTTTTCCCACAGGATGGAAACCTGTTACTTCCAGTTCACATGAACCCCAACTCATGACAGAACAGAATAGCAGGAAAAGTTAGTGGCTTCTCAGAGAATCAAGATCATTTTTTTTTTTTTTTTTTTTTTGGTTTTTTGAGACAGGGTTTCTCTGTGGCTTTGGAGGCTGTCTTGGAACTAGCTCTTGTAGACCAGGCTGGTCTTGAACTCACAGAGATCCGCCTGCCTCTGCCTCCGAGTGCTGGGATTAAAGGTGTGTGCCACCACCGCCTGGCGAGAATAAAGATCACTTTATCACAGGTGCTGGCCGACTTCTTCCCATGCCTGGCTTCTACTCTCTCTCTTAAAACCTGGTGATAAATAAAGCAAAAACTCCCCACCCAGCTGACTGGCAGAGAATACCTTAGTCTGAACAAAGACCCAGTGTTCCAAGCCTAAGGCAGTTATTTTCTGGGCTTTAGTGGTTTCACTTACATGCAATCAGATGCAGGTTCATGACAAACCACATCATGATTCTCTGCCGAGCTGGGTCCGCTATAAGCCTGAGACCTGAGATCCTTTTGTAAGAAAAAGGTAATCACGACTTCTGTTTCTGTGTTTTTTAAAAGGGCATCTGAGAGCTGGAGAGACGGCTTGGTAGTTAAGAGTACTTGTTGCTCTTGCAGAAGATCCAGGTTCAGCTAAGAGTAATCTGTAACCCTAGTTTTCCGGAGGATCTGACACTCCCTTCTGGCCTTCGTACTGTGCACACATGTGGTGCAAGGACATACATGTAGGCAAAACACCCATATACATTAAATCTTGAAAAGACTTGCAGACACCTCTGTTCACCTTTTGGATGAGTGCCTTACGAGTCTAGTGGTGATGAACAGTTCGTACCTGGGAAGTGAAAGTACTGCTCCATCTTTACCTCCTAAAGGCTAGAGTTATAGGCACCCAGGGTCCCCTTTTAATCACTCTTTTCTTTCCTGTTGTTTTAAGACAGGGTCTCATGTAGCCCAGGTTAGCACTAAACTTGCTATGTAGCAGAAGATGACCCAGGACTCTTGATCTTCCTGCATCTACCACTCAAGTGATAGGAGTGCAGACATGGGTCCTTATGAACCATAGAGAAGTATTTCTTCATAGTTAGAGAAAAGGGGGTTTAGAAATAGATAGGCATCTATTAGCAGTGTTTGCTCCTCAGTATCCAGAGTGTCTAGAGGACCTACTTTTTTTTTGTTTTTAAAGATTTTTATTTTATCTGTATGAGTGTTTTGACTGTTTGTACGTATGTACCCTACATGAGTAGCCAGTACCTGTGGATGCCAGACAGACACCCTGAAACTAGAGATACAGATGGTTATGGACTGCATGTGGGTGCTGGAATTGAATCTGGGTTCTCCAAAAGAGCAGTGGGTGCTCTTAACCACTGAGCCATCTTTCCAGCTCCAGACCCAATATTTTTTTGTAAGAAATTCTTTTTATTCCTCCACCTCGATGTCAGCTGTCATTACTAGCCAAGATCCTATTAAGAGTGTGCTTTGTGTTTGACATCTGTTTTCCTGTTGGTTCTGGGTAATTCCCCCACCAGTGTGGCTCAGAGCACAAAGCTCTCTCAGCTTAAGTATCTGCTCCTTTGTCCGTGCCCCACCTGTTCAGCTCATCCGGAAAGAGAGAAGTGGCCACTCCCAATGTATTAAACCCTCCTCTGGCTACATCTGCCAAGCATCCATTTACACCCCCCCCCCCCCCCCCCGCCCGGCTTTCCCTAAGGCAGAGCTGCCACTGCAGGCTGCAGGCTCCTTCTTTCTAGTTTGTCACTTGCTCTGATTCATTCCAGGCCCTCCTGTTCTTCTCTGTATTGAATGAGACCTGTTTCCTATAGGCCAGGTTTGGCTGAGTCCCAGGTTTGCTGGCTGTTTCTGGATAGTTCAGCCAAAGGAATCCAAAGTGGGAAACTGTGTCACAAGCAGCAGCTGAGTACTTACCCTTCCTCTCTCTGTTCAGAAGCATCTCTGCCAGGTAAACCCAGACTCTGGGAGTCATAGCCTTCAGCCTATAGGTAGTGGGCATCCCCTGCTACTACCTTCTCAATTCCTTCACGTATAAGCATTCTCTTGGTTTAAACCACTTAGGTTTATTCTTGCAAGACCCCTGTTCTCAGAACGGGGGTTGAAACCAGGGCCTCATGGATGGTAGGCAAGCACTCAATCACCAAGCTATATTCTCAGACACTTGGAGTAGTTCACACTTTTGGGTTGGCTCTAGCAGAGCCAAATTCCTTTATCTACAGATCCTACTCTTGGAGTGCAACACCAAAGATTAACTACTTAGAATGGTAACCTGGCACCACTCTGTTGATGACCTTAAAGCATCTTTTTTCTTATACAAATCCTGATACCACTTGCTGTGCAGGTAAAGGGGCATAAAATGAAACAAGAGAAGGTCAGAGGTTCTGTGGGAGCAGAGTTTTGCCTATTTCCCCAAACCACCAGAGGGTACCCCATCAGAAGAAACAACATCAACAAGGTACATTTGCCTCCAAATAGGACTGAAAGTAAAAAGATCAAGTAAACATACCAGAGTTCACAGAACGGTTTTAGAGAAAAACAGTTAATTAGGATTGTCTGTCATGAAATTCCCCCTTCCGTTTCCCACTATCTCTAAGAAGCTATCATGTTTAGAGAGAAGTGTTACTAAGGCTTTCTTTTTTTTTTTTTTTTTTTTTTTTTTTTTTGGTTTTTCGAGACAGGGTTTCTCTGTGTAGCTTTGGAGCCTATCCTGGCACTCACTCTGGAGACCAGGCTGGCCTCAAACTCACAGAGATCCGCCTGCCTCTGCCTCCCGAGTGCTGGGATTAAAGGCTTGTGGCCACCAACGCCCGGCTGAGAAGTGTTACTCTAAAATTATTCTTTAACCATATCAGTTTCTAGGATGTATATAAGAGACTTCATTAAAAAACAAACAAACAAACAAAAAAACCAGCAACCTCTGGCCCCGTCCCTACCAATCCCAGAACTGCTGTCATGGGTGGTGGTGTGTGTGGTGTGTGTGTGCGTGTGTGTGTGTGTGTGTGTGGGGAGCTAGCCTCACTGGCTCTGGCCACCACATGGCTCTCCCCAGATGATGGCTTTTGGCGGTGGATGCAGGGGGGCTGGCTGGTAGGAATTTAACCACATTCCAGTGAATACATGGACAACACAAAATAGACTTGTTCTTTTAATTGTTTGGGGGGTGGGGTCAGTAGAAGGGGATGGACATGGGAAGACTAGGAAGTGAGTTCAATCAAGGCGCATGATGTGAGATTCTGAAATAATCAATTAAAAAAAGTACCCCCAGCAACCTCTAGTATGAAAGGAAAATGAAGATTGTAGGTTAGTTTTGTTTAACGATGCATTTGGACCGGTGAGGTAGGTCAGCCACAGGTTAAAAGCACTTGCTCTGCAAACTTGACAACCTGAGCTCAGTCCTGGAAACCCACAGCAGAAGAGGGCAGCTGACTCCAACTGAGCTCAGTCCTGGGAACTCACAGCAGAAGGGGGCAGCTGACTCCAAAAGTTGTTCTCTGTTCTCCACACACGCACCGCGGTACACATATGCCTGCACATGCATACACACTTTCTCTCTCTCAGAATAATTGTCATAAATAAAACATTTTAAAAGGTGCATTCAGCTGGGTGTTGGTGGCACACGCCTTTAATCCCAGCACTCGGGAGGCAGAGGCAGGCAGATCTCTGTGAGTTTGAGACCAGCCTGGTCTACAAGAGCTAGTTCCAGGACAGCCTCCAAAGCCATGGAGAAACCCTGTCTTGAAAAACCAAAGTAAAATAAAATAAAAACATAACAAACAAAAAAATAAAAATAAAAGGTACATTCATTTATAAGTGTTGTTTTCTGTTTTAACACATTAGCTTTCAACTTAGTCAAGGCACATGCCAACACTGTGAACTACGTAACCTGCAGAACAGTGAGAGAACAGGACAGCCTCTCACCTGCAGGTACAGAAAGCACCTGCAAAAAAAGGAGGCAAGGGAAAGCATCATTACCTCTTTGTCATGGGCAATTAGCTGGGTCTTCACATGGCCAGACACGAGATTCACTCGTCCCAGCACCTGCCCGGTCTCTAGTCCCCAGATGGTGCAGGTTGTGTCAATGCTTGAGGTACCTGCAGACACCGGAGCAAGTCAGAGCTGATGAGGTGAGGTTCCATGAAGACTCCCCTCTCACTCTGATCCCTATGCTTGGCCCAGGGGACAACAGGCCACAGCACTTCCTGAGAACTGACTTGTTTTTTGTGGGGTGGGGAGAAGAATTTCTTGAAACAGAATACTCTGATATAGTTCAAGCCGACCTTGAACTCAAGATCCTCCAGCCTGCACCTCCCAAGTGCTGGTATCATAGGTGTGTAGCATCACACCTGCAAGACCTTAGACTTAAGCTGGAGAGATGTGATATACACACGGGAAAGATGAGCTCCCTATAAGAAATCTGGAATAACCACTTTCCATATTTAGCCTGTTTCCCTTGGCTGTTCTAGGACAAAGTGTGTGCCCCAATCCCCACCTCCACCTCCGGATAAAAACAGACCCTGGCAGAATTTGAGGAAATGTATCTTCATTTTCTTCAAATTGGAATTCAAAGCCCTCACCTAAAAGATAAGGATCCACCTCGTTCCAGTCAAAGGAGGTGAGGGGAGCACAGAAGTCTGAGTTCTTGTTATTGTTCAGCAAGCACTCCAGCCTGGTCTCTGTTTCACCAACCTGAAGGGACAACAATTTGAGACATTAGCCTATCTACACGCACACCCCCTTAAAGTCCTGTCTAGTAAATCTAAGACAAGGGGAGAAGATATTTTTATGATAAAGGGTAATAAAACCCAAAGGAATTCCTGAATTGGGACTTCAAAACTTGCCCTTTTACCTAGATTTCTCTCCAGGTTTGCACCCATGCCTTTGTCTGATGCTCTTAGCAGCCTGTCTGCGGGCCCTAGACTCCCAAGCACAGGGGATATCCTGTGCTGAGCTCAGCTTGAAAGGGAAGATCCATGCACTCAACACACTATAATCAACAGCCTGGGATTTATTTACTCAAAAGTATCTTGACTATCAATGGAGTAAGAGATCCCAGTGTTCTCTGCCTCACAGAAGACTGTCCCCCATCACACCAGGTTGACTGAGGCCAGCAGCAAGACTCTATAGCACCTGGGCTACATTTCCTAGAAAACCCACTGCGCTAAGACAAGATCAGTCCAGACACACGTCCTTTGTTTCCTCCACGCTGCAATGACACTACCAGTCTGCATCTCTTCAGGACCCCACAATGCAGCTGTCTGCTACTAGAGCACCTGCTTACCCTCCACACACGGAGATAGTCACCACTTGTCGCCAGAAGGTCTGGATAGACGCCTTTTGTGTCAGGAATCCACATGAGCTTTGTGGTGGGGTATGGGTGGTCAAAGGTGTTTCGGCAAATAAACTCTGAACTCTCTTCATCTAAACCAACAAGCTGAACCTGCAACACACCAAAATTGAACCATGTGAGCACTTGTTTTTCTTCAGCAGTATCAAACACATCAGATTCCTGGTCAGTGGCATAAGTCTTAACACTGGACTACACTGAAGTGCAGTCAAGTTATTACAGTGAGAGGATCCTAGACTGATGATCCCAACTCGAGATGAAAACACAAGCAGCACAGGGTTCAGGGCAGCCAACACTGCAAAGCAGAAAAAGACAGAGAAAATCTGAATACAGGTTTTCTTCTTTCCAAGTCCTGAACTAACCCCCAGGCAATCTGATTTTCCTGTCTCTCTCTTCCCAAGTGCTGGGATTACAGGAATGTACAATCATAGCCTGTTTAATGAAATACTGGGAACTGAACCAGGGCTTCATGTATGCTAGGCTCTTACCAACTGAGCTTCATGTATGCTAGGATCTTACCAACTGAGTTACATTCCCAGCTCCCCCTTTGGCTTTGTGAATCAAGGCCTTCATACACAGACCAGGTTGCTTTCGAGTGCACAGAAATTCTCCTGCCTCTGCCTCCCGAGTGCCTGTATTAAAAGCATGTGACACCATGCCCAGCTCCATTCTATGTTTTGTTTTTTAACAAATTAACGACACATATTTGGCATAATATTGCTGTAAAGAGTATTTTCACTCTACTTAAAAAGGTTTTTTTTGAGACAGATCTTCACGTAGTCTGTGCTACCTTCAAGCTCACTATGCAGGCAGGGGTCATCTCCACCTTCCAAGGGTTTGCTCTACTTTTTATTGGGTCGAGTTGTTTTCTCATTGAGTTTTAGTTCTTTGTATACTTTTGATACAATTTCTGCTCTTCTATGCTATTGCTTTTCTGTATGAATTTTCACAGGTCCTCTTTTGGTTTTTCAAGACAGGGTTTCTCTGTGTAACAGTCTGGCTGTCCTAGAACTAGTTCTATAGACCAGGTTGGCCTCAAACTCACAGAGATCTGTCTGTCTCTGCCTCCTGCATGCTGGGATCAAAGGTGTGCACCACCACTGCCAGGCCCACCTTTCTGTATGAATTTTAAAGAGCTCTTTAAACTGTACAGAAAGCCTGATGAGGTTCTGACTAAAATTGTCTTGAATCTGTGCGTCAGTGTGGGAAGAACTGCCAACTTGAGTTTACTCGTTTAGGTCACCTTTATCTTGTTCAGCAATGCTTTTAAAGTTTTGCATGTACACTCTTTCATTTCAACTCTTTCATTAATTATTTCCTTTTTTTTTAAGATTTATTTATTTATTTATTATGTGTATACTATTATGCCTGCATGCATCCCTGCAGGTCAGAAGAGGGCACCAGATCTCATTACAGATGGTTGTGAGCCACTATGTAGTTGCTGGGAATTGAACTCAGTTCCTCTGGAAGAGCAGTCAGTGCTCTTAACCTCTGAGCCATCTCTCCAGCCCTCATTAATAATTTCTATATAATTGTATGTTACTAGAAATATATTTTTTTAGGGTTTTAACTGAATTTTCCCTTATACTACCTAGCATGGTTTTAAAATTACATTTTCAACTGTTCACTGCTATTATATAGAAATGGTTTATTTTGTATATTAATCTTAGATCTCTAACTTTGGTGCATTAGTCATCAGTGGTTTTGGTACATTTGTAAGGATTTTTCTATGTGTACCTATACACTTAGTCATCGATGGATTTTTTGGAATTCAGCCTATAAGCGCAGGGTCTATAAATGTGTAGGGAGATCATGAGAATGGATGCAAAAGGAGACAGAACCCTGTGCTCGGAAACACTCACAGGCAACTCTCCAACCCTCAAATTCAGTTTGGATGGGTGAGGAGGTGCCCTTACATCTAAGCAGTCTTCCTGCCAGGTTTAAGAGGAAAAACATGGAAAGGCAGATAACACCTTAAAGTGAAACCGGAGAGCTGGAAAGATGGCTCAGAGGTTAAGAGCACTGCCTGCTTTTCCAGAGGTCCTGAGTTCAATTTCCAAAACTACATGGTGATAGTAATGATCTGTAATGAGATCTGGCGCCCTCTTCTGGTGTGCAGACAGAAGACTGTATACATAATAAATAATTTGCTTTAAAAAAAGTGAAACTGGAAAAAAAGGTGGGGCAGTGGTGGCTACACTCCCAAAAATTGCCTTTCAAATCATGAGACATTTTCCCAAACCTCAAATACCAGATTCTGTGACCACTTTCCTCTAGACCCAACACTCTAGGCCCTATGCCACCCAATGCTAAGCTACCTTAGCTTCCATTTTCCTCACTTGATGACCTTTTTCACCCTCTTCCTTTCCTTACACATCTTTTCACACTTGTAAAATTTGCTACACCCTTTCCATGCCTAATATTACACATCAGCAGTATCAGGCTTCTAGGACTCTACCATTCACTAGCTGCAGGCCCTTGGCCATAACACGTACTATTGTTAATCTTGTTTTCCAACCTGTAGAGTCTTTGAGATGTTCATGCTACCTACCATAATAATTGTGTGTAAACTGCCTTTCCCAATGTATGAGCTTCAACATTTTATCTTACTTCCTCCACAAAACACCGGCAGTTTTCCTTGTCCTGTATCTTTCAATGCTTACCAATACCACACATTTGACAGCTAATCCCATAGTGCCTCATGAGACAGACATTACTGTTTTGTGTAGTAAATGTCTTAAAAGACGAGGCTTGTGTTTTTCTTCTTGTACAGCCTGCTACTGTCTCCTAATTTGGCTTTCTTGTACCTATTTCTAATATTCCCCATGTTTGGATTCTGTTGTCATTATTTCTGGTACCCCCAAATCCCTATAAAAAGTGTTCTGCCATTGAGCTATATCCTCACGGCTAAATTTTTTTTTCTCTCTTTTCACCGCTAAATTTTAAAGAAAAGTTCCAGTTTATACTAGGATAGTGCAGATAGAGACAACTGGGAAGACAGAGGCCCCAAATAGCGATCCTGTTGGGCGAATATCTACCTGCCTCAGACTCCATTTTGTAAGCACCCATGACCTCAGCTGGACTCCATTCTCTCCTTGGATCAGCTGTTTGCAATCTCCTGAGAACTTTAAAAAACACCTCAGTTGCCTAGGCAACATCCAGAGGCGTGGGATAAGAATCTGTGGTAATGAAACACACACATCTAACTGCCAGAGCACCCAGTGGTCCAAGTACAGCCACTGTGCTACTCTGCCACACCAACCAAACACACTTCTGGGAATTTGGGGAAAATGGGAAAGGCCAGACCCACACCGCATGGAGATGCAGGAAAAGCCAGCACACAGACTGAGCAGACTGGAGGGGTTGCAAGACATGAGATTTAAATGAGACGTGCTTTGTGAGGGGCAGGGTGTGAGAACACATTCCCAGCGCCTGATCTGTCCCCCAGAGGCCTAAGACTCAGCCTTTCAGATCTCAACTCCAACTCAGACACCTTTAATCCCAGCACTCGGGAGGCAGAAGCAGGCAGATCTCTGTGAGTTCGAGGCCAGACTGGTCTACAGAGCAAGTTCCAGGGCAGCCAAAGCTACAACGAGAAACCATCTCAAAAAACCAACCAACCAAAAACCACCCAAAGCAAAACAACCCCTCCCCCCAAAAAGCAGATCTCCAACTATTCTGAATGAATCCTCCAGCTACTCCACCCCCTCCCCCATCTTAAGTGTGTGGATTTAAGTGTGTGGATGTTTTGTTTGCATGTGTGTCCCTGCACCATTTGCATGCATGCTGCATGAGGATGCCCAAAGAGGACCATAAGACCCCCTGGCAGTGAAGTTACAGGTGGCTGTGAGCTGCCATGTGGGTGCTGGGAACTGAACCCAGGTCCTCTGTAAGAGCAGCCAGTGCTTTTAAGCACTGAGCCACCTCTCCAGCTCCCACCCCTAAAAACTGTCTTAAGTAGATTCCTGTTTCTTTCGATTGAAGAACATTCAATCATGCTAGTAATAAAAATAGTGAGAGTCTCTTGAGGACAGAATTGAACCAAACTAGCTTCACATGTTTTAGGGTAAAAGTCTGTGGGTAGGAGATATGGCTCGGTCAGTAAAATACTTGTCTCACCAGCATGAGAACCTGAGGATAATCCCCAGAACCCATGTTAAAGCCTGGTGTGGGCACACACTCAGCTCTGGGGAGGTGGAGGCAAGAGGATCCTTAGGACTTGTTGCTCAGCCAGTCTAGCTTAATTCAAGCTCCAGGTTCAAGCTCCTCTCCCAAAAAATAAGATGAAGAACAACTGGGGAAGCCACTTGTCTATAATCTTTGGCATCCAATGGCATGGACACACACAGTTTCATATAAGTTTCTCTTTAAGAAAGAGAGCTGATAACCAACCACTGCAAGAACTCTCTAGTGCCAAACTTCTTGTACTGACTAATGTGGGCAAATTCTTACTACGTTCTACAATGACTGCTTTCTACATATCTAAGTATTTTCCATGTATTTATGTGTGTTGGATGTGTGTGTACTAGGTTCTTTATAACAAAAGCAAACAAAAAACCCAAAACATAGACTTGTTCCACAAAATTTATTTCACAACTTGCTTTGAATATCTTCAAGTCAATACAAATAGTTCCATCTCTTCTTCTACAGCAGAATGTGGTAAGCACACCACAATTTATTTAACTGTTCATTTATTTGGTTATAGTCCATTTTTTTTTAACAGCATGACAATAAATATCCTTATTTAATTCTGTGTGTGTGTGTGTGTGTGTGTGTGTGTGTGTGTGTGTGTGTGTGTATATGCTTTTATTGGATAGATTCCTATAAGTGTAATTGCTCTATCACATTTTAAAATCTTTGTGTGTATGTACATGTTCATGTGTTATGTGCATGCATGTACAAGCCAGATGTTAACATAAAGTGTGTTCCTCACTCATTCTCTATCTTATGTTTTGAGACAAGGTCTCTCATTAAACCTGGAATGCACTTGCTGGCCAACAAGTCCCAAGAGTCTTCCTGTCTCTCTTGGGCTTCGGGGCTTCTGGGGGGATTTGAACTCAAGTCTTCATGCTGGTGCAGAAAGCAGCCTACCA